ACCACCACAGTGGGTCTCTGTTTTTAGAGAGAAGAGAACGCAATGCTGAGTACCAGTCAGATGCTTTTCATTGCATAGAAAATCCCTGTGCAACAGAGTGACCTCCAAGTCATGACTTAGTATTTTGAATAAAGTTCCACAATCAGGACAACAGAATAATTCAGATGACTCCATAATCCTTGCTGTGACAGGATCTAAGCAGTGTTTACCCTAGGACCTTGGTTTCTGGATTAGTCACTCCACACTGCATCCTCTGCTCCAAAGCCCTGCTCTCAACTCTTACAGGTGACAGGGGAAGTGACAGATCCATCAGGAAAAGTTCACTTTGCCCTTCTGGGGACATGGGATGAGAAAATGGATTGCTTCAAAGTGCAGCCAGCTGCTGGGGAGAATGGGGGTGATGCTCGTCAGAGAGGCCACGACGCAGAGGAAAGCAGGGTCATGCTGTGGAAAAGGAATCCTTTACCGTGAGTATCTGTTTGTGAACTGGTACCTGGAGGCCACTTTGCCCTTACCTGTGGAACAGTGAAAATAAGTCTGCCTGCCTTCCTACTTAGTTATATGAAGGGCCAACCAGGGAAATAGGGCCTTTTGGAGAGGTTACCAGAAGGTGGTCACAAGAAAGTCCTAACTAACACCCACCATTCAAAAACATTTTTTAAATTTTTATTCTATTGGATTGGGATTCAGAAGAATATCTTTCTGTAGTTTAGAGCAAAGCTATTCACAAACAGCCAGAGAAGCAAGGTGTCCAAAAGCCCAGAGGCAGCAGGAAAGTCCTGAGCAAGTGTCCAGGACTCTGACCTCATCTAATAGATTCCATTGATAGCAGTAGCCAAGACTGTCCCAGGAGGAAAAAGGAAAAAAAATTTGAAAAGAAGTAAAGGCAAGCCGGGTGCTGGTGGCTCAAGCCTGTAATCCTAGCTACTCAGGAAGCTGAGATCTCAGGATCACGGTTCAAAGCCAACCCTGGGCAGGAAAGGCTGTGAGACTTATCTCCAATAAACCACTCAGAAAACGGAAGTAGCGCAGTGATCCAAGTGGTACAGCGCTAGCCTTGAGCTGAAGAGCTTAGGGACAGCGTTCAGGCCCAGAGTTCAAGCCCCATGAATGACAAAAAGAAAAAAAAAGTAAATGCAGTAGAAGGCAATAGAAATGAGTAATTTTGATTAAGTAGAGTGTTTGTTGTATTCATCCAGATGGATACAGATAATTCTGGCTGAGTAGTATCAAACCCCAGATGACACTTAAATGGAATCATACTGGGAGGGGTAGAGGGATCCAGGTTGGCTCTTGGCCCTAGACTTTTTTTTTTTTTTCCACTTGTAGAGCAACCTTGATAATGTTGGCTTGGCAATGTACCAAATTACTACTCCTTAACTCAGTCTGAGCTCTTCTGTTACCTTTTCTTTTAGGAAGAATGCGGAAAACATGTACTACTTCTCAGAGCTGGCTCTAACTCTCAATGCCTGGGAAGGTGGCACTGCACCCACAGACAGCCGGTTACGGCCTGACCAGAGACTGATGGAAAATGGACGCTGGGATGAAGCAAACGCTGAGAAGCAGCGCCTGGAGGAAAAACAAAGACTTTCCAGAAAGAAAAGAGAAGCTGAAGCTATGAAGGCCACAGAAGATGGTAATGAACTTGCTTTCTATTCCTGCGTCTTGGCAGGTGGAGAGAGCTGGCTCTTAATTTTGCTTCTTTTCCCTCTTTCCCTTTTAGGCACACCCTATGATCCTTATAAGGCACTGTGGTTTGAGCGGAAGAAGGACCCTGTTACCAAGGAGTTAACTCATATTTATAGGGGTGAATACTGGGAGTGTAAAGAAAAGCAGGACTGGAACTCGTGTCCAGACATTTTCTGAAGGAGCAGTAACAAAGAGGAAGAGGATTGATCGGAGAAGAGGACAGAGGATGTGTGGGAAAGCTGGCAATTGTGACTCTTACCAAGTGCTTTCCTCAAGTTTGTCTGTCTTAACCAATCACTTTTTCCAAATCAATCACCAGAAGCAGACACCAGTGGTGGTGATTGGCTGGTTGCCTTAGCTGATTGACACTGAAATCAACATACTAGATAACTATGTTTGTAAGGGAGAGGATTAGTGGCTGAAAGTTAGTGTTACTCTCCATCTGCGAAGTCAAGAATTCTTGGCTCTTCTTTCTCCTTCTGCACCCATTTAAGATGATGTCATTTGCCCTTCCCTTGTAGTATCCTGCTCAGCCAAGATCTGCATAAGATTGTGATTCATGAGCATTTTTGGTGCTGTTCAGAGCAAGAACTGATTTTAAAGTTCCTTTAAAAAGAAACACATAAGACTTTAACCAGCAGAGGCACTGTGCATGATTGCGGTGGAGCTTAGGTCTAAAGGAAATGCGTGCTCACGTGGGGTCTGGCGTGTGGGCCCTCCATGTGCAGACAACCAGGGTACTGGAGCGGCTGCAAGAGAGACGGCTCTGTGGGGCTGGAAAATTGGTACCTCCTTGGCAGTTTCTATCTTCACTTGCATAACGTGCCCCTCTGCCGTTGTCTGCCTTTGGCAGCAGCTGGAAACCACGCTGGTGGTTTGTATGAGGGGCACGTCGTCCTCATAGAAAGGCTGTATGGACTCCTCAGGCGGAGAACCGAGAGACCAGGCGGGATGGAAGAAGACTGCTAGCCACTTGGCCTTCCCCAGTCCTCACCCCCACCCTTCATCGCCTTTCACCCCTCTTTCCCAGCTTACACCTGTATGGGTTTGTGCCCCAGTCTGGAGCCACCTGTCCATTCTGGTATAGTTCAGAATTTGAGAGCAGTTAATCTGGAACTAAGTTTTCACCATCTCTCAAACCCCAGGGACTGGAGCCACCTCTGGAATAATGTGTTAAATATCTGTATATTATATATATGTAGAGAAAAATCTAATTTTTTTGTTTGATTTTCCTTCCTCCCATTAAGAATCTTGGTTTTTGTATATCATTTGTCTCCCTGGGACTCTGTCTTATGAGGATGGGCACTCTTCTACTTCCCATCTTTCAGGGGCAGATTTGGAGCCCAAGCTGGATCACATCTGGTAGTTACTGAACTGAGACGGGCCCAGGATTTGTATCCTGGGGTGCTCAGTGCTGTGTTAAGCTCTCCTCTCCTTTGAAGATGAAATCCTAGTCTCTTTCCTGCCTCTTTGCTTACTTTGTTGGAAGAATATGGGTAGAAAGTTAGAGGAGAGTACCTTCCAGTTTACTTCAGCCTCTGTTCAGCACACAGGCTAAATCCCAAAAGAATTTTCTTGCCATAATGGGGGGCTGGTAGCGCCATCATGTAGGGTGAATGAGAGAACTCCTCCTCTTGGGCTGGCTTCCTCCTTTGTTCTCTATTTGTTCTCTTTGTCTTATTCAGAAATCTAACCCCTATGCCACCTGCCCTTGGTTGAGGATCACAAATCGAGGTGCCTTCCTTGTATGCTTTCTGTTAGTGTTTTCTGTTTCTGTTCCTTAACTGCTGAGCCTCAGCCAGTGTGGGTCCTGGGGGAAAATATCATTCCAGAGGAAGCCATCCCTCCAGGGAAATTGGGTTTTACTGGGTAAATCAGTGCTTTTATCCCTCTCCCTCATCCCTTCCTCCCTAGCTGCGAGGAACACGCTGGGAATTTCTTCCTAAGAACCCTTTTCCATCCCAAGCCGGGGGTTATGCCAGGGCTTGTTCCAGGAGACCCAGAAAAGCTGGGACCTTCTTCAGGGACTTTAGATGGAGTGAGAATTCCCTAACTAAACTGAACTTCCCTGCTTTCTCTCCCTTTTCTTCCTCTACCATCTGCACTACATTTCTGGCTCAATCCCCAGATACCTGCTAATGGAAGAAGCTTACGAGTCCTAAAGGTGGAATAAAGTCACATCAAAACAAAACTATATATGTTTTCAGTTTTTTTGCCTTATTGCTTTTTTTTTTCAAAAAAAAACTACTAAATTAAATAATTTTTAAAAAGCCATATTTGTCTGATTCAGTTCTTCTAGGCCAGAAGCATTGGCGGGGAGGGGGAGGAGAACTGGTCCAGTGGTTTTGTTCTGCTTGGGAATGTGGGAGCCCGGGAGCCCTCATCTTTGTGAGAAACTGGAAGAGGGCACAGAACACTATTGAGCAAGGCTCCAGAGGGCCTGTGAGCAGAAAATTAGATTTAAAAGCCCTACCACTTCAATGTGTTGCACTTTGCTTCATCTTGACCTTGGCAGGAATAATTGCTAATGGTCGTTTGGTTTGGTTTTGTGAATTCTGGGCCTGCTTCACCTCAAAAAAAAAAAAAAAAGTGAAAAATTAGGGGCCTAGTATGCACCAGGTCCTGAGTTCAAAACTAGCACTGCAAATAATACTAAAAACAAAATTCTTACTGTTACCTAGTTTATGGAGGGGTTCAATTTTTTTTTTTCTTTTTGGTCCATTGTGGGGCTTGAACTCAGGGCCTGGGCACTGTCCCTTGAGCTGCTTTGTGCCTAAGGCTATAGCGCTCCACCACTTGAGCCACAGCACCACTTTGTTTTTGAGTGGTTAGTTGAAGTTAAGAGTCTCATGGAGACTTTTCTGCCCAGACTGGCTTTGAGCCACGACCCTAAGATTTCAGTCTCCTGATTAGCTAGGATTACAGGCATGAGCCTCTGACACCCAGCTCAAATTCTGCTATTTTTCTTTTTTGAGGGGGTTGGTTGTGGGGCTTGAACTCTGGTCCTGGGCGCTGTCCCTCAGCTCTTCAGCTCAAGGCAAGCGCTCTACCACTTGAGCCACCGCACCACTCCTGATTTTCTGGTGGTTTTATTGGAGATAGGAGTCTCACAAACTTTCCTGCCCAGGCTGGCTTTGAACCATGATCCTCAGATCTCAGTCTCCTGAGTAGCTGGGATTACAGGTGTGAGCCACTGGCGCCCATCAAATTCTACTTTTTGAAACAAGCAAATTTGATTTGAAGATCTTTGAAAATTACACACAGTATATATGTCTAGCCTGAGTCAGGATGATTGCTTAAACCCAGGAATTCAAAAACAGCCTGGACAACAGTGAAACCCCCATCTAAAATAAAAGGAAAAAACCAGCCAGTCCTAGGCCACAGGACAGTGAAGCAAGAGAGTTAGGACCAGCCTGAGTTTCACAGACCCTGTCTCAAAGTTTTAAACTAGAGTTTTTGACAAAAGTAATGACAGCGGCTCTGCTTGCTTTTTCTCAGAGTTCCGGAGGGGGATAGGCAAAATAAAGTAGGAGAGCCCTCAGATGAGAGCAAGCATAATGCCAGTCTGTGAGAGGTGTGTGGGACATTAACTCCCTACTTGCTTCTTCCATTCTCCCATTACAAGTAGGAACTTAAAGCCAGGCCTATAATCCTAACTACTCAGGAGGCTGAGATCTGAGGGTCATAGTTCAAAGCCAGCGCAGGCTGGAAAGTCCATGAGACTCTTACCTCCAATGAATCACCAGAAAGCCATAAGTAGCTGTAGCTCAAATGGTTCAGCCTTGAGCACAAGAGCTCAGGGACAATGCCATGCCTCCTGTCTCCATGTCTTCTGTCTCCAGGCCCTCCTCCTGGTCAATATGGTGTCCCATTTCAGCTCTCCATTGGAGTTGAGCTGGTTTGTTGGTAGTGTTTTTCTGCTTGCTCTTTACTGCTTTCATGGCTCACTTTTCTGACAGTGTTAAGTGTATTAGCAGGGTTGCAGGTATTTGTGATGAGTCTGCTTGTGGTCGCTGGCCTTCTAATAATGACTTTCAATTCGACCTCTCATATCACCTGATGTGGAAGAAATAATTGTATTTTCAAAACTTAGAATTCACAAACTTTATGAACCATGATAATGACAATTTGCCTTGTGAAAGTTAAAATGTGTATGTGACTTTAGCACTATCCCACAATACTGTGAAATTTATGTAATCAGTTTCAATTAAAAATTATTAAAAAAAAAAAAAAAAAGATAGTGGTGCTGTGGCTCAAATGGTAGAGTGCTAGCCTTGAGCAAAAGAAGCACAGGGACAGTGCTCAGGCCCTGAGTTCAAGCCCCACAACCACAAAACAAAAGTAGTAAAGTAGAAGTAAAAAATCATAGATTTGGGGCTGGGAAGGTGGCTCAGTGGTAGAGTGTTTGCTTCTCATGCATGAGGCCCTGGATTCGATTCCTCAGTACCCCATAAGCAGAAAAAGCCAGAAGTGGCGCTGTGGCTCAAGTGGTAGCGTGCTAGCCTTGAGCTGAAGAGCTGAGAGACAGCGCTGAGACCCAGAGTTCAAGCCCCACGACCAACAATCACAAAAATACCATAGTTTTGGACAGGGAATGTGGCTGAGTGGTAAAGTGTTTGCCTATCATGCATAAGGCCCTATGTTCAATTCCTTGGACCGTATAAGATTAATTTTTTAAAAAGTTAAAATTATTTTTTAAAAACACATGTAGTTTTGGGTCCAATGGTGGGACCCAGTTCATCTCCCTGAGAGGCTTCTGTATCATAAAAATCCTTTTTTGTGAAGATATATACATATCTATATACATATATAGATCTATATACATATCTATATACATATATATGTGTGTATATATGTACATATATATGAACCTATATGTATAGCTCAACCTTTATTGTGTGGCTAAGGCTAAAAGAAAAATGATATATGTGGTTTTCAGTTAAAAAGAATGTGCTGGGCACCAGTAGCCCAAGCCTATAACTCTAAGCCACTCAGGAGACTGAGATCCAAGGGTCAACTGGAAATAGAGTGCCAGCCAGACATGAAAATAAAAGCTCTGAGGTAAAGAGAGGTCACAGATTGTATAGTATAACTAGGGAGGGTGAGAAACTTTCCATATAAATATATAAGTCCACTCTCCTAATAAAAAGAAGCAAAGCTGGGAGAGAGGGAGGAAAGAGGTGATATTGTCCAAAAAGAAAGGTACTCATGCCTGTAATCCTAGTAGCTACTCGGGAGACTGAAATCTGAGGTCACTGTTTGAAGCCAGCTGGAGCAGAGTAGTCCCCATGAGACTTTTTTTTTTTTTTGGTCAGTTGTGGGACTTGAACTCTGGACTTGGGCACTGTCCCTCAGCTCTTCAGCTTGAGCCAGAGTGCCACTTCTAGTTTTCTAGTGGTTTATTGAAGAGTCTCCCAGACTTTCCTGCCCGGGCTGGCTTTGAACCACGATCCTCAGATCTCAGCCTCCTGAGTAGCTAGGATTACAGGCGTGAGTCATCTGCGCCCGGCCCCAAGAGACTCTTATCTCCAATTAACCACTCAAAAACTGGAAATGGAACTGTGGCTCAAGTAATAAGAGTACTAGTCTTGAGCCCAAAGAGGCTCAGGGACAGTGCCAAAGCCCTGAGTTTAAGCCCCACAACTGATGAAGGAAGGAAGGAAGGAATAAAGAAAGAGAAAGAAAAAGGTGCTATATAGTGACACATTTCTAAATCTTGGCTTATCCTATGACGTAGATATATGGCATATATCTTCTGCACAAGAACAAAGGTTGTTTTACAGTTAAAACATTTGATGTGTTAAAGAAGCATAAAGAGAATACCAAGGTTGATTTTGAATGTGACTAAACCATCACAATTTCTGTGCAGGTTGATGTTCTGAGCACAGACAAGCATCTATGGTCAGGAACGTGTTCGCTCTTGGGTTCACAGCCTTCTTAGTCCTCTCACCCCATCCAGCTGCCTCATTTGGCCTCCCCAGGGTTGGCTCAACCTACCCCTGAGCCCAGGGACCAGCTTCCCTCCAGGGACCACAGTCTTCTGTCTTCTCTCCTCTCTATCCTGCAGTCTTGAGTATTAAAGGCAATGAAAACAGCCAGGCGCCAGTGGCTCACACCTATAATCCTACCTACTCAGGAGGCTGAGATCTGAGGATCACCGTTCAAAGCCAGCCCAAGTAGGAAAGTCTGTGACATTCTTATCTTCAATCAACCACCAGAAAACCAGACGTGGTACTATAGCTCTAGTGATAATGCTTGCCTTGAGCTGAACTGCTGAAGGACAGTGCCCACGCCCAGAGTTCTAGCTCCCAACTGACAAATAAATTAAATGAAGGCAACTAAAACAGTAGCCACCCTTCCTTGAGTCCTCCAGTGTTGTCTGGTGGGTAGGATTATGGATCTGGAGAGGGGTCTACCATCCTTGGCCATGATTCAAAATTCTTCACACTTTCACAAAAATGCTGAGCGTCTACATTTCAAAGGTCTGCTTTACATTCAAAACTGTAGAACACTTACTGACAGCATAATCCCAAAGGAAGTGTAGAAAACTCTTTGAACTTTGTTTACTGTCCATGTACACCAAGGGAACTTCGAAAGATTACTACAAGAATATAGAGCTTTGGGCTGGGAAGGTGGCTCAGTGGTAAAGTGCTTGCCTTGCATGCATGAGGCCCTGGGTTCGATTCCTCAGCACCACATAAGCAGAAAGAAAAAAGCCAGAAGTGGCGCTGTGGCTCAAGTGGTAGAGCGCTAGCCTTCAGCTGAAGAACTGAGGGACAGCACCCAGGCCCAGAGTTCAGGCCCCATGACTGGACCCAAAAAAAAAAAAAAAGAATATAGAGCTCTTTTTCTGAAAGTTCATAGAGTTTTTGCCCTACGGCAGAGTACTTCTGAAGCTCATAGAATAAGCTATCATTAAACTGTCCTGAGGCTTTCTTCTCTTCTGTCTGTTTCAAGTGCTTCTTTTTGTTGTTTTTTTGTTTTGGTTCTTATGGATCTTTCAGGGGGAAAAAGGCATTTGCCAGTTGAAATAACTTTGTATTTTATTTTTTGTGCTTGTCCTAGGGCTCAAACTCTAAACCTGGGTGCTGTCCTTGTTTGGTTGGTTTTTTGTTTGTTTTGCTGAGGGCTAACACTCTACCAGGTGAATCATACCTCCACTTCTGGTTTTTTAGTGGTTAATTGAAGATAAGAGTCTCACAGACTTTGCTGTCCAAACTGGCTTCAAACCATGATCCTCAGATCTCAGCCTCCTGAGTAGCTAGGATGACAGTGTGAGCCACAGATGACTGGCTTGAGGTATCTTTTTTATTAGCATATATTAGTCGCGCAAGGAAGTGCTCCTAATGACATTTCCATACATGCATACCATGTTCTCCAACGTCAACTCTCTGCCACTCTCCTTCTTAAGCAATTTCAGCAAGCTCCACTGTTCTATTTTCATAATTGCTTATGAAATACTCCTGACGTATTCATCTTCCCTACTCCCACAGATCCCCTACACCCAGCAGCAGGCAAGGTATTGTTAAAAGCAAGGTAGAGACCTCAAGGGCTCACAATATACAGCTCAGTGAGAGAGTGCTGTGTACTGTATATGCAAAGGCCCTGGGTTTGAGAGTAATGGGGTTCAGAATCTTCTATAAAGAGCCTTGCAAAGGTTGCAGAGATTCCATTCTCTGACTTTTAAGGTTACTAAAAAAGTGCTCCTAGAAAATGTCACAACAGGGCTGGGAAGGTGGCTCAGTGGTAGAGCTCTTGCCCTGCATGCCTGAGGCCCTGGGTTCAATTCCCCAGCACTACATAAGCAAAAAAAAAAAAGCCGGAAGTGGCGCTGTGGCTCAAGTGGTAGAGCACTGAAGAGCTGAGGGACAGCGCCCAGAGTTTGAAGAGCTGAGGGACAGCGCCCAGAGTTTGAAGAGCTGAGGGACAGCGCCCAGAGTTTGAAGAGCTGAGGGACAGTGCCCGGAGTTCAGGCCCCACGAATGGACCCAAAAAAGAAAAAAGAAAATGTCACAACAAACTCTTCCTCTTTGTTGAGCTAATGTATACTCATTAAAAACAAAACTGGTTCGAGTGGGGCACACTTTGGATTTGGCTGCCAGTCAAGAAAAGAACACTGAGATTTTGTATGCTAGTGAAGGGTAGAGCAAGCTATTGAAGGTTTTACATTCCATTTTGAGATGGCTTGTTTGTTTTGTTTTTGTCAGTCCTGGGACTAGAATTCAGTGCCTGGGAGCTGTCCTTGAGCTCTTTTGCTCAAGGCTAACACTCTATCATTTTGAGCCTCAGCTCCACTCTTCTATTTTTGAGTGGTCAATTGGAGATAAGAGTCTCACAGAGCTGGGCGCTGGTGGCTCACGCCTGTAATCCTAGCTACTCAGGAGGCTGAGATCTGAGGATCTCAATTCAAAGCCAGCCTGGGCAGGAAAGACCTTGAGACTCCTTTCTCCAATAAATCACTAGAAAACTGGAAGTGGCGCTGTGCCTCAAGTGGTAGAGCGCTTGCCTTGAGCTAAAGAGCTGAGGAACAGCGCCCAAACCCAGAGTTCAAGCCCCATGACCGACAAAAAAAGAGTCTCAAGGGGATTTTTCTGCCCGGGCTGGCTTCCAACAGTGATCCTCAGATCTCTGCCTCCAGAATAGAATAGGAGCTAGAATTATAGGCCACTGGCACCTGGCAATACCTTGTTTGTTTGTTTGTTTTACCTGTGAAGGGTTTTAAAGTAGGATAGTGGGCGCCAGTGGGAATTGATTTTTAGATATGTGGATATGGATTTTTAGATAAGGACACCAGATGAGAAGATTTGAGATGTTTTCAGAATTCCAGAACTACTGAAGTAGAACAAAGAGCATTAGGTATGATTATGAATGGAGAGCAGAGGGGGAAAGGAAGACATTTGTCAGGTTTCTGGCTTGGGAAACAGATGGAAGGCGGTAGGAAGAAAAACAAATTTAGAGGGGAAAAATAAGTTCATTTTTGTACATGCTGGGTTGGATGGGTCTGTAGAAAATATAAATACAGCCTAAAAAAATGAGTCTTATTTGTGTAAACACTGAGAATGGGAGACTGAATGAAATTAGATTATAATCACCTGGCCAATATTAGAAAATTATTCTAGCCAGGTGCTGGTGGCTCACGCCTGTAATCCTAGCTGCTCAGGAGGCTGAGTTTAAAGCCAGCGTGGGTACAGAAGAGTCCATGAGACTTATCTCCAATTAGTTACCAAAAAACTGGAAGTGAAGCTGTAACTCAAGTGGGAGAGTATTCGCCTTGAACAAAAGTAGCTGAAGGATAGTGCCCAGGCCCTGAGTTCAAGCCTCAGGATTGGCGCACACACACACACACACACACACACAAATTATTGTCATTCTCTCTCTCTCTCCCACCTTATATGCTAAGATTCTGATTTCACTAGAGCAAGACCTAGTATAATTGCATATGCAATAACTGCACTATTTGGTGCAATATGTATAAGAAGGAACGGACTTGTGCAAAATTATAGACAAGTAAGTGACCAGGCTAGGATTAAAATGTACTCTTTATCATCTATCTATACAAACCTGTGACAAGTCTGCACTTCTCAATTCGTTTTCCATTGCTACAACTTCATTACCACGCACGACCTTTGTGGTTTGAAACCCCTGTTTATTAGCTCACAGTGTGTGAATCCTACACCGTGGGGCAGGGTTCTCTCTGCTCAGGGTATCTAAGAGTCACCCAGGATGATTGCTCACCAGGAGCCACTGGTATCCTTCACTTTCTTGCAATTGTAGGACTGAGGACTGGTTTTGATGGTGGCTGTGGGCTAAAGTAGCCACTCTCAATCAACTCCTAGAGGCTCTCACTAACTCTTGTTATGTGGGTGCCATTTTCAAGCCAGTGCGTTTACATCACATCCTTATATTTTTGAATCTTTGAATCCTTTGTGCCACCAGTTGGAGAAAACCCTGTTTTAGCCAGATTTTTGTTCACTGGGACAAATTCCTGAGAGACACAGCTTATTTTGGCTTCCATCCATGCTTGGCTGGCTCCATTGCTTTGGGCTGGAGGTGAGGCAGAGCTGCTCACAAAGAAGAGAGGAGTCACAGGAAGGAGCCATTCAAAGGCTCGCCCCCTGGGACCCATTTCTTCCAGTTAGACCTCACTTCCCAGTCTCACAGCCTTTCCACCATTACAACCACTGTTTGGGTCAGAGCCCTCGCGACCCAATCAACTCAAAAAACCCTTCACAGAAACACCAGGAGGGTGTGTTTTAAGTGTCATCTGTCTGTCTTCACTACCACAACTCCCCAGCTTTAACCAGGCACCTGAACTAGGTCAGGCCCACCTAGATTAATTACATATCATAGAAACAGCCATGCTATATTATATAACCTAGTGAAACCCATCAGATTAACCACAGTTCCAGGGATTAGGCAGTGTCCACTGGATGGGCTGGGAGGGTGTCCTGTTGGGGAGGGGGGCAGTTTAGGATTTTTCCTACTACCTGGGAAAAGAAAAAAAAAGTGAAATCTGAGCTAAACAAGTGAGTTTAGGCCCAGCAGCCCTGTACTGCTCACCTCAGATACACTCTTTCCTTACCTCTCAAGAAGTACAATTTGGAATGATTCTCCACTTTACATCCATTGTTTTATAGTTCTGAACCAATATGTTCTGAATAGATTCTTTGCAAGTTATGTCTATGTTCTCTCCCTATGTATGAATCGAGTGAATGCTGAATTATTCTGTCTTATGGAATTGTTAAGACTTTTTTTTTTTTACTTGAACAAATGTGTAGTTATGCAATGAGAGGCCGAGGTGGAATAGAATCAGCCTGCTAAGGGTATTATGAAACCACAGGTGGCTTCTTAGAGTTTGAAAGAGGCCTTTGTATATCAGGCAGGCCTCCTTCTCAACTGTACACCGTTAAAAACGAAAAAGAAAAGAGACAACTAAGGTATATTTGGAATATTACGCTTAGCAAATGGATGCTTTTAGTAAAGATGGTATATTCACATAGACAAAGGGGATAATATCAAAAGTCTACATGCGAAGACTTGACAAATAAAAGAGAGAAAAGAAATAGCCAATCCCAGGGGTTGGAGGCATGGCTCAGTTGGTAGAACACCAGCCAAGGAATGAGAAAGCATCAGGTACCCATCTCAGATTCACAACAAAACAAAATGCAGAACACTTGACGAATGGTCTTCCTGTGCTGATTTTTCTTCGGGGGAACCGGGGTGCCATCCACTGAAGTCCCTGGCTCTACCACTCCAGCCACATGCCCATTTTGTTTTTTTTTCTCTTTTCAGGGCTGCAGATCAAACTCAGGCAGACTGTGTCGGGAAACTGAGTCACGAGGGCATCAGAATCAAGAAAGCCGGCGACGTGCTTTATTCCGGAGTGCAGCTTGGGAAGGGCGACCCAGGGCGACCCCGTCCTTCAGCGGGGCTGAGGTTCCCTACGCCCGAGGGAAGGCTGGGAAGGGTGGGGTGGCAGTGGGGCGCGGTGGGTGAGCCAGGCTCTCTTGGCCCAGGGGTTTCAAGGTCTCAGGCCGCCTCTGCGTTCCTGGGGGGCGGCCCTGGCCTCGGGCTCGGGCTCCCCTCCAAGCCTGCCCGGTGCGTTGGTTCAAAAAGGGTGTGTGCGCTTTTAAACTGAACTTTCAGTGTGCGTCTGAACCGCACCAGGGAGGCGTCTGCGGCACTTGGACCTTACGGACCTCTCCATTTCCCTCTCGTTTTAAACGAGTCTGACTACAGACCTGTATACAGCGCATCCGACACCATGGAGTCACCCACGGAAGCGTCATCATGAAAGACAGACGCGGGTGGAAAGCAATTACCGCGGGGGCGGGGGCGGGGTCCCGCAGCTGCCGTCCGTCCGTCCGTCCGTCCGCAGGGCCGCGCCCCGTCGCGTCTCCCCAGCGGGTCGGGTCGGCCCAGGGGCCCCGCGGGCCACAATTATATGGGACAGGGGGGAAGGCAGGGCAGCCGGGCTCGCCGAAATAGCTCAGTTGGGAGAGCGTTAGACTGAAGATCTAAAGGTCCCTGGTTCGATCCCGGGTTTCGGCAGTGGCTTTTGTCAGCTTGCTGGTGAAACGCGCTCCGGAGAAGACTCGGGGCGGATGGTGGTGATGTGATGACCCCCCGTTTTGCCCCTGCGTCCTCGCTTTGTTCTCGCCCTCCCCGCCCGGGCGGGCTCCGTTCTCCTCGGGCCGGAGGCGGGCGGCGGCCTCCCCGCGGCACCTGCGGGTTGGCCGCCCTGGATCCGCAGCCTGCGGGGCCCCGGAGCACAGGCCTGGGCCGGCGGGCCTGGATGGCTTCCGCGCTCCACAGCAGATGCCAGGCCACGTCTGAGCCGCTCGCGGGTCGCGGGCCACGGGTGCCTTGGCATCCAGGACTTGGGAACCCACTGCGATCGGCCACCTGTTTCCCCCCCCCCCCCCCGCCCCGTCCCCCCCCCCCCCCACTCGATCATGATCCGGGTAGAGACCAGGAGAGTCTAGAAGCTTGGACTGGATCCTAACTGAATAATAACCAAGCAGACTTACACTTGAGGGAATACAATGTGAAATCATATTATCACCACACACACACACACACACACACACACACACACACACACACACACACACACACATTCCACTCCAATGAAGTTCGGTTGTCATATTCTAAGTGTGGTAAAAGGCAAAATGTAGACATATGTTCTGCAGACCTATGTCTACTTCTCTTTTTTAGTCTTCCAGGTTGCCTGCTTCCATCCACTGAAGACACTGGGTTGTTAGTAGAAAGGTGTGTGTGTGTGTGTGTGTGTGTGTTTTGGTAAGGTACTAAAAGAAAAAAACTGCTGTGAAAATCAAAAGGAAGGAACCCCAAGTGGTGGGCTAATAAACCGGGTAGTTCCTCCACACTATATATGCTGTGTGTCTGCAGTAGGATGAGTAATTTTGTGTGTTGACTTGGCCAGGTTATGGTGTCTCATGGTTTGGTTAAATACTGTTCTAGATCTGATTGTCAAGGTAGGTCTTTTTCTTTTAGTCATCATTCTTATTGCACCAGTGGGCTTTGAGTCAAGCCAGTTACCATCTAGAATGTGGTTGTGTCCCATGCAGTCATTTGAAGCCCTTAAGAGCAAAGATGGCTTTCTGATCAGGAAGGAATCATGACTTCAACAAAGATACCTGTCTGAGAGTTTCCTGGTTAGGGCTGTGTTGAGTAAAAACTGCAAAGTCAACTCTTACCTGAATTTTCAGACCGTCAACCTGCCTTGCAGGTTTTGAGCTTAACATCCTCCATAATTGTTTGAGCCAAGTTCTTAACGCGATCTTTACTCCTATTTTCATCTCTGCTTCTTTCCCTCTCTCCCTTTTTTTAAAATTAGACTATATCAATTGTATAGAGGGCTTCCATTGTGATATTTCCACCTATTTGTATAAGGTACTTTGATCTCACTCTGTCCCTCTTTTATTCTCTCATCCCTTCCACCCTTTTAAAACGCTTTTCAGTAGGCTTTATCGTTCTGTTTCTATACATGCACGTGCAGCACTTCCAAGATCTACCTGTATTTTTGTCTATGTTCTGTGGCTCTGGAGAAACCTGACAGCATGTGTACAAGTGTTACCTTCCTCACAGGTAAGGGGGAAGGCAGAGATGGATAATACAGGTGAGATTCAAATTCCTAGGAAATGCTTGATACTCCCCTGGGCTCCTCCTTGCAGGACAAAGCCTGTCTATTTTTTTTAAAAATCTAAAGATGAAATCTAAAGATGATAGGGGAGACATTTTTGTGTAGCACTTGGAATCTGAACAAGCTCAGAGAAGACAGTGTATGCAAGGCTGAGTCAACTTCCTGCATTCCATTCCCGCCCCCTGCAGCTCACCTGTGAAGGCATCCTGGCGAGGTATAGACTTCCTTGATGTGTACATAATGCCTCCCTCGCCCACTCAGGGGCCGCTCTGCTTGCTGGACACACAGGAAGCTCCCCAGAGAGAATGCCCAGTAAACGTCACCCTCCCAAGGTGTGGAAAGGTGGCAGAGTAGATCACAGCCCCACACCTCACTGTGGCCTGGGGATTCTTCACAGGTGAAGACAATCAAGAAGCAGATACAAACGCGTTCTACCTTCCGCCCCCTCCCGGCCCCCCGTGGGCTGACCACCTGTGCACAGGTGTCCTTTCTCCATCCTGTAGCAGGAAGGACAAAGGGGAATCACCCTTACCTATCAACTGTGGAGAGGGCACCATCTCCAGATGATGTTACCTCCAGACCACACACTTCCTGACTACCTTCATCCGCTACTGATATGCTCCCTGGTAGTTACTTCCGAGCAGAGGCCCACGGTTCTTTCCCTTTGTCTTCTCACTTCACGAACTCCCTTGTCCTTTGTGTTGAGAGACTTTATCAACTGGAGCCGGAAGCCACCATCTCCTCTTTTCCCGGCCATGTCCCCACACATAGATCTGCCCAAGGAACGTGGAGGGTCGCGTGGAGGTGAAGGGTGGGGGGACCCTGGGGGTCGGGGGTCGGGGTGGGGAGGGGGGTGGGGCCGCGGCTGGCGCTGCGCACGCGCAGAAGCGGCTGGGGGGGGGCGGCGCGCGGTGTCCGCGTGGCACGCGCGGTGCCCTCGTGGTGCCCGTGCTGTGAAGACCCCGGCAGGCTTGCCAGGGCCGCCCATCGCTTCCGACCCTCTCTTTGCAGCGAATCCGCGTCGCGCGGGCGCGGCCCCGCTCCCCACCCCGCTCCACCTCGCTCTCTCCCCGCGCCCGCGGGCCTGCGGGCGTTGGAGCGTCAGCGAATCGCAGCCCCCAGGCGGGCTGACGTCACCGGCGGAGGGTGCCGCGGAACGCCGGACGGTCTTCTGTGACCAAAGTGACGCTGCGCAGCGTGAGCCCGGATAGCTCAGTCGGTAGAGCATCAGACTTTTAATCTGAGGGTCCAGGGTTCAAGTCCCTGTTCGGGCGGAAGCTTGTTTTTTTTTTTTTTTTCCCCCTCCATGCCTCATGTGAACTACATTGAAGGGTGTTAAGACCCCCGTGGCTGTGCAGAGAAAACCGTAGTAAAACCCCGTGCACAATGTGCACCTCCGTATTTGATCAGCCGCTGTTTCCCGGTGGGGAACCGAGGTTTCAACAAGATCCAGCCATCGCAGCCCCTGTCTCCTCGCCCCTCCGCGGCGCTGCTGGCTCGGGGTTAGGTGCCTGCGAATGCGGCCTGCACCCTCGCCTCCCCCCGACCCTGGAAAAGAACGAGTTCCTCCAGGGAGATCAGATCCCCCCGCGCTCGACGGGGACTCCGCTCGCGGTTGAGGCCTTACGGTAGCTGCTGGACTGCTGGACGGAGCAAATCATCATCATCATCGTCATCATCATCATCATCATCATCATCATCATCATCAACAACAACAACAACACAGCCACTCAGGAGACTGAGATCTAAGGAGAGGGGTTCAAACCCACCTGAAGTGGAGCTGCAGCTTAAGTGGTAATGCTGTAGCCATGAACAACAGAATTCAAACCCCAGGACTGGCACGTGCGCACACACGCACACCGCGCACACACACCTCTAGAAAGTGAATCTTTTCCTCCCTCAGCCTTCTCAGGAGAAAGGATGATGATGATGATGATGATGATGATGATGGTGAAGGCCGTGGCCACAGTTTCCATTTCCTAAACCTGTGATAACTAAACGAGATAGCACAAACCACTAAGAAGAGTCTTTGCTTAAAAGCCAGTAAGTCAGACGTCGTCGCCATTCTTAGAATTAAAGAGATTTCTGGCTAGCCCAAAAAGAGATTCGCATAGAAACAGAGAAAGAGTCATTTCCAAGAAATCAATGCCCAGCATCATAAAATATAAGTCAGTGATTCAAAGAAGGGGGGAGAGTGATTGATCAAGATGGCCTTCTTTTTTTTTTTTTTTTAGGGTGCTGAATGATGGGGCTCAGAGACATTGCAGAATAAACAGGTAAGGCAAGCAGCTGTGGCAAAGGAGAATCTTCCAAACTTTTCCTCCCCCGCTCCTCGGAAGTGATCAATCAAGTTAAGTTTTGGCACGTTTGGAAGGTGGAGTCTCCTGGCCCCCACCATTCTTCTGGCAGTCCCAGACCAGGGGTGGAACCCCTCCTTTCCCTGGAGGACTGAAGGGGAATCAGGTGCTTTGTGTAACCGACGCGGTGCTGGTTTTATTTATTGATTAAATGAAAACGAACCCAGAGCCTCTGAGGCCGGACAGGCACAGTCGTTGCTATTTTCATTCTTATTGGGGCCACCGGTAGGAGGAGGAAAAGTGACCAGGAAGACAGTGAAAGGTCACCGGAGACAAGGCAGAGCAGCAACGAAGAAAATGGTCCCTACGTGACAGGGACAACTGCTCCTTATTCTGAAACCCACTGAACTGAATGAGGTAATAGGATTGAAAATTAAAAGGTTGGAGATAAAGGGACCTTTTTTTCCTTCTTTCACTTTTAAATTTCCCATTAGCAGAGAAAGAGAACTCTCGCCCTCGCCGAAATAGCTCAGTTGGGAGAGCGTTAGACTGAAGATCTAAAGGTCCCTGGTTCGATCCCGGGTTTCGGCAGTGGTTTTATTCGTGCTGGAGATGCTGGACGTTTTATTACAAACTCCACTCCCTCGGAAAGAGCATCCAGAGTTCAACCCCTCCCAGATCCTAGGATTACCATCACCTGCACACAATGAGATATCCAGGGTTCAACCTCTCCTAGCTCCTAGGATCACCATCACCTGCGCACCATGAGATGCAGCAGTGTGCAGGCTGCGGGGCCTCCGGTCACCTCGCGGGGGCTGCAGATTGTCTCCCAAGGAGACTCTTCAACCTGTGCATCTCACCGCAGGACCCCGGGCCAGGGCTGCCCGGCGCAGGAGCAGCGCGGCCGAGGGCGATCGCGAGCCCGAGGGCGCAGCCCCGCCACCCACCCGGGGCGCAGCCCCGCCTGGCCCAGTGCGCAGCCCCGCCACCCACCCGGGGCGCAGCCCCGCCACCCGCGCAGGGCGCAGTCCCGCCTGGCCCAGGGCGCAGCCCCGCCTGGCCCAGGGCGCAGTCCCGTCTGGCCCAGGGCGCAGCCCCGCCACCCGCCCAGGGCGCAGCCCCGCCTGGCCCAGGGCGCAGCCCCGCCTGGCCCAGGGCGCAGTCCCGCCACCCACCCGGGGCGCAGCCCCGCCTGGCTCGGCCGAGACCACCGTTCCTGCTGTGGTTCTGATGCCGAGACGGGGCCCAGATCTCTGCTTTACGTCTTTCTTGAGGTTCAGGTTCGTTTTGGGGAAATCCTTGAAGAAAAGGCAACAGTGGAAATCTGCTTTAGCGTGGTTTCCTTCTGGAGTTTTGCTGCGGCTTAGCAGAGCCCCGGACAAACAAGGCTTAAAATAAGCTTCCGCCCGAACAGGGACTTGAACCCTGGACCCTCAGATTAAAAGTCTGATGCTCTACCGACTGAGCTATCCGGGCTCCCGGGGCCTGCACTCCCTCCGGTGATCCACGGTGGAACGGCACGCGGTCTTTCACCAGTGGATCATACCCCTGCCCCTTTGAGGCGTCGGCTTGCTCCCCGCGGGGCTCCCTGAAAAGGGATTTTCATTCATTCATTCATTCATTCATTCATTCATTCATTCAGCTAATTAATTAACTTATTCTTTTCCCCATGAGGCGATGCCCAGAGTTAGGCAGCAGATTCAGCATCTGGTGGTCCAAGTGGAGAGGTCGCCTGTGTCGGCATAGACGCCGGTGGGAGTTGGGGGGCGGCGGGGGGTGAGGGAGAAGGATAGATAGAGGAGCTGAGATGGAATGGGGTACATCGCATACAGGAGTGGAAATGTCGCAAGGAAACCCCCT